TTTTTTTGGTCTTTTTGAGACAGGGTCTCGCTATGCAGTTCAGGCTGACCTTGAGCTCACTTTGTAGCCCAGGCTGGCCTGAAATTTGCAACAATTCTCTTGCCTCAGCCTCCTGAGTGCTGGGATTATAGGCGTTCACCACCAGGCCCGGCTTAGTGTTACTTTTGTATTTGTTGTTGTTTTTGAGATCCTAAGGACGGAACCCATTTTTTATTTTGAGACAGAATTCTGCTAAATTGCCCAGTCTGGACTCAAACTTGTGACTCTCCTGGTTCACTCTCTCAGAATGCTGAGATTACAGGTGTTCACTACTATACTTAGTATATTATTTGTTTTTATAACAAAACATATAATGAAACACATTATATAAACAATGCATGTAATTATAAAGCAAACTGAAGCTTACATAAACCTATAGAGACCAATTTTTACAAATTAAGAATAAAATGGATACCTGTTTAGTGGCATCATCACATGGAAAGTATCTTTCAGTAGCTTTTTTTTTTTTTTTTCACTTTTTTGAGACAGGGTCTTACTACGTAGCTCAGGCTGGCCTCAAACTCATGGTGATCCTTCTGCTTCAGCCTCCTGAATGCTTGGATTATAGGAATGTGCCACCACACCCAACCTTTCAGTAGCTTTAAAGCAGTAACTGTGACACCCAGAGGAATGTATCTTTGCCCCATTAAAACTTTTTACCATTTACAGCCCTATTTTGGTGATAGTTTTAAATGTTTTTGTTATTCTGAGATTGGATGATGTATAGCCTGGATCGATGTGTGGTACTCACATCCTACCAGTTCTATAGCTCTGTTTTGTTTTTTTTTTTTTTTTAAAGTTCTATAGCTCTTAGAACAGCTGCCTTTCACAATGTGGAAAACACAGAACTATAAAGAAGACCTGAAGCTACTGTTCCACAGTACTGGGCCCAAGTGCAGACCCAGAACTCAGACAGCAGCTTCAGGTGCTGAGTCAGAATGTGTTCTACTTCCTTAGGTCATTAAATGTGCTAGCATATCAGAGACTATCTATACTCTTAGGATATATATACTGAGATAGTAGGGCCAGGATCTTACTCTCCACTAATTCAGGAAACTAATATTGTGTACATTCGTGTGGATGTGCATGTGTGTTTGTGTAGAAAGAGAAGGCACACAAATGAGGAAGCAAACAGAAGGTGCAACCCACACAGCCTTCAAAACAAAAAAATACAGTTACAGAATAACTGTAAATCCTGCACAGATGTACCTGAGGTGGTTCATAAATTGCAGCCACTTCCGCCCTGATGCCAAGAGGAATGTCTTTGTGCTCTGTGTACCGTCCATACAAGTACCCAAAATGCTGGTTCCCTGTCTTCCTCCAAAAGTCAAGGAAGCGGTCAGCAACAGTGTGATTCTCAAACATGATGTTGTCCACATGTCTGTATTTCTGTAGAGTTAACAACAGTGGGCTACATAAAAAGATTCCGCTGAAAACGTTAATTCATTGTTCTAAAACTAACCATTCCAAAGTTTCTTTTATCTAGTTCTTTGCGGGTAGGGGGATAGTTTTCCCAATCTCTAGAGCAAACAAGCAGTTTTCAGGAAGGAGCAAATAAGGCGCTGGGGATTTAGCTCAGTGGCAAAGCGCCTGCCTGGCAAGCGCAAGGTTGTGAGTTCGGTTCCTGGTACCGGAGAAAAAACCAAAAAAAAAAAAAAAAAAAAACCCAGTACTAACAACAACAATGGCAAAATCATAGCTACAGAGCATCAAGAAAATTCTGCCTCCATACAAACACAAAAAAAGGAACCAAAGTTCCTGTACCATACCAGCAAGAGCTACAAATTTTACAAATTACATAGTCAGCACCAAGTGATAGATCACAAAACACCTGAGATTCTGCCATGCACACCACTCTTCTGGAGGCAACTTCTCTCCAAGAGAACATCCACCTCTCAGCAATGCCAAACCCAGGGGGACACAAGCTATCTTACCTGTCTATTCAGCGTGATAGCACTGGGCTGGCACTTGGTGCAGATGCCATTAGGCCATGGCAGGTGTCCTTCACACCCTGACTTTATCTTGCAGCTGATGTTCTCCAAGGCAACAAACTTTCCCCTGAGGAAAAAGAGAAGCAACTGAGCACATGTGCAACAGTGAAAAGTGGCAGGAGGTGGAGAGGTGTGTGAAGCAGCTCATGCACACCCCTATTCTGGCAGGTGTCAAGGGTCCTAGCATAGGGGCACGTGTGCTAAAATCACTCTGGCAGGACTCTACAGTCCAGCTTCTGTCCTGTGCTGGGACACAGGGCTCTCTTCCCACAGAAATGTGGTCTCTATTTTCAGCTATACCCATGTATCCATGAGGTTTTCAAGAACACTGCTGAATATCTATCGATTGAAGCTATGCCACTCACAACTATGACATTAGCAACCCAGGTCTTATACATTTGTAGAAAAATTCTCATTCATCAGAAAAACCTAATTAGGATACATAATGGTGATATTTTCATTCTGCTTTTAGCTAAAACATACACATACACACACACACACACACACACACACACACACACACAATTAGAAAACTTGTTAGAAGACTATCAAGAAGGAAGTCTTGGGCTATGCTCTAAACTTGGGGTGAATCTGTATAAGGAATATCAGTTTTCTCATTCACAAAATGGTCTAATAATTCCATTTTATTTCTTTTTCCTTTTTTCCCAACTTGGCTGAGCTATAACTGACAATTATATGGATTTAAGGTCTACAATGTCATTTTTTTCTTTGCTTTGAAAATAAAAATTGAACATATTTTTGGTGCTCATGATGTTTTATTTTTGTTTGTAATACTAGAGATTGAACCTGGGGCCTCAAACATGCTAGATAAGCACTCTACCACTGAGCTACACTTTCAGCCCTTTTTAATCTGGAGATAAGATCTTTCTAAATTGCCCAGGTTGGCCTCGAACTTGTGATCCAACTTTCTGAACTTCCTGAGGAGCTAGAATTACAGCTGCACCCAGCTGTTCACGATGTTCTGAATACATTTACACTGTGAATGGCCAACCTGAGCTAAAAGGTATACATACTGCCTTGTTCACTGACCATTCTATTTTCACAAGTCAAGGGCACACTGGTTTCTGTGCACCTAATAGGCAGTGGCACTACTGCCAGGCCTGCACGCTGTCCAGCTCAGGCTATTTTCCTTGACCCAGGCTGACAAGGCTTATGAGGCTCCCTTCACTGCAGTACATCTCCCTTGGTCCCTGGTCCAGAGTGTCCTGTATCTTTTCCCACTCACAGAAAAGACTAGGTCTCTGGTGGAGTTTTTTGGCCAGGTCTAACATTTTTTGAAAATTCATTTTAGAATGTCAGCAGGTTGTCAAGGAAAAGCTACTATCTGGAGAATGTGATATTGTTCACAAAATGCTGACATGGGCTCAGCTGTTGTCTCCCTTTATCATACTAACAGGACTTACAGAACTATAGCTGAGGGGGCTGGGGATTTAGCTCAGCAGCACAGCGCCTGCCTGGCAAGCATGAGGTCGTGAGTTCAATTCCTGGTACCAGAAAACAAAACAAAACAAAAAAAAAGAACTATAGCTGAGATCTGTCACTCTGGCACACAGAATGTGTGCACAGATGAACACCTGATGTATGTTTTTTTTTTTTTTTTTGGTTTTTCTCCGGTACCGGGAACCGAACTCACGACCTTGCGCTTGCCAGGCAGGCGCTTTTGCCGCTGAGCTAAATCCCCAGCCCATCACCTGATGTATGTTAAAGAAATAAAAATGCTCTCTTTTATATGCTCACTCTCTTTTAATGTTCACTTTTATATGCTCTCAATAAAAGTGCCCTTTCTGACCACTGCTACCATCTGCCCTCAAACACTCAGAGAAGGCTTCATGCCTGCCTGTGGAACACAAATACTGAGGCACTAGAGTGTAGTCCACAGAAAGGTAATTTCAGCTATTACCATGGCTGTGAAATCAAAACTGATGAAGAAGCAGCATCCTGGGCAATGGGCCCACCAGGGCTCAAATGGCTGAGCTGGAGAATCACGAGGCAGTGGTCCTTCTGCAAAGCAGGGGACGCACTCAGACCTGCAAAACCAACAAGCTACTACCAAGGGCAGTGGCAGGATCCACCTGGGCATCTGACCCAGCTCTGGGCACTGTGGATATGCACTAGGCTGACTCCCATGGATTCCCCACCTTTTCCAATTCAGCAAAGTTCAACGTTCAGTTGCTCTGTGCTTAGCTGTAAACAACAAGTGGTAAAGAGAGAAAATGCAGTTCATGTGTGCAGAGGCCACTTGTAGCTGCTTACTTGTCAGCCCCTCCAGTCAGCTTCCGGATATAGGCATGGAAGGACATGTGCTTCACAGGAGGCTCCAGGTGGTTCAAGTAGTCCTCATCAAATGGCTGCCAAAATACATGGAGAACAAGTAGTCATGTGCCTGAAGGGCCAAAAGGCACAGGGACCCTATTGTGCAGGGCAACAGCCCAGGCAGTGCAGCCTCCAAGGTGTGAACAGGGGCAGCACACAAGATGAAATCCAGGACATAACCTAGCTCACCTTGTTCTAAATCAGAATCAAGTTCACCACTTCTCAGTTATCTTTTCAAGATTAAATGAACCTCTACAAAACAATAAATGCTCATAAACCAGATTAAGTGCGAGGAAAATTTTGCAGAAAGTCATGCCATAAAGTGTACAAAGCTCAGTGACAGAGCACTTGCTTAGCATGGGTGAGGCCCTAGGTTCAACCCCCAGGACCACCAAAAAAAAAAAAAAAAAAAAGCACAAATGAGGCCAGAGGGGCCTCATGGAAAAGAAAATCAGGCTGGCAATGCTGCCATGAGTTCAGCATCCCCATTACCAGTCAGCATTATCACAGTAACTTCAACCTCGCTAGGACAAAGCAGCAGAGCAGGCAGGATTCAGGGCAGTAAATCAAAACAATGATAAGCATCAGCCAACAGGCTCTACTCTGTCAAAATTTTAAAAGGATTGTCCAGGGAGCCCACTGTACATCGTGTCCCTTCATCACAGTAGCACAAACGCTTCAGCCATTCATAATCCACCCAGAAGGTCACTCCCATAAATAAAGGCTCAGCCTCCTTATGCCACTTGCACTAGTGCAACTATGAGGCCCAGGGCAATAAATAGATAAGTTCTTTAACCACAACATTCAAGTACAGGGACTCAAAAAGCGCTTGGACAGCTTTGTTATCAGCGGCTAACCATGCGGCCCAACCGAGAACTCACCTCTAGCGGGACACAGTGCACACACTTTCCCAAGGGGCCATGACGGCATCTGAGAACACAGGCAAAGAAAGGCACAGCAATATGCAGATTATTTCTCTGTTGCTGCCTCCAAAACATTTTTGATATTTACTTACTTTTGGCTTTTTCAGACAGGGTCTTGCTGCATTGTTCAGGTTGGTCTTAAACTAACAGTGATCCTACTGCCTTAGCCTCCCAAGTGCTGGGATTATGGGTGTGCACCACCATGCTGGGCCACATTTTTGATATTTAAAATGTATTTCATACTTTAGTAAAGGGCTTCCCTACCCATGAGAAATTTTAGATGGCACATGGATAAACCTTTTTAATACTTTAGTATTTACAAGGAAAAAACTGACCAGCATATCAACTTGAGATTTCATGGATTTTATTTTATTTTGTTTTTTTTTTCCCGGTACCGGAAATCGAACTCACGACCTTGCGCTTGCCAGGCAGGCGCTGTGCCGCTGAGCTAAATCCCCCCCCCCATTTCACGGATTTTAACTTCTTAAAATGAGACTAAAAATAAAAGCAATGCTTATAACATGCGCAAGGCTCGGAAGTTTAATCTCTAACCTCAAAGGAAGAAAAAACACAAATGAGATTTAAAGTCAATTTAAGTAATAAAAATGTTACTCAAATGAGACAGTTGGTAGTACATGGATTTGGCAAAAATCCTGACAGTGGTGCATGAATAACCTGACTGGAAAACACCCACTTCACGCACATTTTGTTTCAATTTTTTTCAAATTTTTTTAGTATATGTGCTGCTGAAGTAAGTACCACTTCATGCCCATTTTAGAAAAACAGGTAAGAGATGCTTGGCTCCATGGGTTCTAAACATTTTCCATCCAGAAGCTTAACATATATGGTAACTTGGACATAAGTGCTCAGTTTTCGAGGGCAGTAGTGAGACTGCTGGGAAAGTCAAGCTGTGGTCCCTCCAGGGCTCTGTCATATCCTGTTCTAAATGGGGTCACAATTGTCTAAGAAAGAACAAGCACTCCACACATCAGAGCAGATAGCCTCTTTCCCCTACTGATGCTGGGTCAGAATTAATATATACCTGTGCACACATGTACTAGAAGGCTGCTAATGAAGCTATGAAGGCCAGACCTTGTCAGGGGGCAGACACTAGGACACTAGAAGGAAAAGGCATGCCAGTAACAGCCATGAACACTAAGTGGCTCCATACCAAATGCAACTGAGCGCATTTGTGGCTTTCACCTAAGACATCAAAGCTATTAATGCAGCATTTGAAATCCCACTGTCTCAGTGCCAGCACTCATCACGTTTACAAAGCAATGCATTTAAAAGGACTCCACTTCAGAAACTAAGTCTTTGCTCAGATAATTTAACATTACTGAGGGTAACCTCAGATGCTTCTAACTGGTGTTTTTAAAAAGTATTCACAGCTGGGGATATAGCTTAGCAGAATAAGCACCTGCCTGGCAAGGGCAAGGTCCTGGGGTCAATTCCCAGCACCAAAAAAAAAAAAAAAGAAAGAAAGAAAAAGTACTCAAATTCTAAATATTGAAAAAAAAAAAGAAAGAAAGAAAGAAGCGGTAGTAGGCCAGGTGTGGTGGTGCACGCCTATAATCCCAGCACTCAAAGGACTGAGGCAAGAGGATTGTTGCTAGTTAGGGACCAGCCTAGGCTACGCTACGTATGTGAGCTCAAGGCCAGCCTGAACTGCATAGCGAGACCCTGTCTCAAAAACACACACACACACACAAAAAGAATCTGTAGTATGTACATGTAACCATTCCCCAAGATGACTATAAACTGCATATACTGCAAACATGTACTGTGCTAGTAAAATTTTAAAAAGGAAAACATAAAAAGTACTTGAGATAACCCCAACAGAGAGTGACTACTCCAAGGAGCAGTATCTTCCCCGGATAAGATGCTTGCTAGAGGCTGCAACTGCTCACACTACGTAATGCCAAAGCCAAATTGCCACTGCTGAGGGGCCAGGACACCTGGCAGACACCTAGCCCTTGGTCCCTTCAACTGCTCCTGTTTTCTGCCCCCCAAGGTCCACATATCCTGGGAGCATCAGGTAGAAGCTTACTTTAAGTCTTCTGCCTGCCCAAATACCTTCCAAATTCCTTAGCAGCCCAACACTTTAAAACATTTGATGTGGCACATTTTGAGGTTCCAACTGATTAAAGGCTAACAAATAACATATGGAAATATAATCTGAAAATAGATGGTCAAACTCAAAATTCTCACATCTTCATCACATGCTTATTAACAAGGATCATGTTATCAGCACAGTATTTCCCATCTGACCTGACCCATTCCAACCACCACAGGCTCAACCCAGAACCCCACAAAGCACTTACAGCTGTGGGTCCCGGCTTCTGTAGATCTTCCCATCCTGCTTGCTGAGGTACTGATCGATCTCATCCTCCACCACATTGGGAGTGCCAAAGGCCTTTAACCCTACTGAGGCTGACGTCTCCATTTCGGATGAAGGTCCAGCAAGGTTTGAGGGAAACAGGAACAACAAATCGCCATGCCTGTTCAAGGGACAAAAAGTGAATGCCATCCTATCTAACTGCCGAAGGTGCACAGATCAACCTAGACATGTGAACTCTGACATCTGCAAAAGGCAAATGCTACCATCCTGAAGGTTTACACAAGGTTGAACTGGGCATGAATTCAGTACCACAAGGGTTGAACACACCTATAATCCCAGCACTTGGGAGGCTAAGGCAGGAGAATTGCTGTAAATTCAAGGCCAGTCTGGGCTACGAAGTGAGTTCAAGGCCAGTCTGAACTGCATAGCAAAACCCTGTTTCAAAAAAGACAAAAACTAAATAAAGGTTTCCAATTGTGAGAGACCAGAATTCTGTTTCTTGGCATTAAAAGATCAGGAGCCACTGCTTGTGGTAGCACACGCCTGTAATCCCAGCACTTGGGAGGCGGACGCAGGAGGATCACTGCAAGTTCAAGATCAGCCTGGGCTACAAAGTGAGTTCAAGGCCATCCTGAACTGCATAGTGAGACCCTGTCTCAATAAATAAATAAATAATCAGCAGTTTTGTTTAATTTAATTCTCCTATATTTTATTTTAAAGCTGTGGAATATAGCCATGTGCCTGTCTGACTCTGCACACATGAACCCAATCACCTCTGTGCTCACTCTGGGTCTTGAGGGCAACCTCTCCTCCTGCCCATTTATGTAGTCCCTGTAGCCCCCCTTTTGCTCTTGAGCCCTCTGTTCAGCTCCCTGCCTATACTGATCAACTCAGCTTGCACACAAATACAGATACAGATGAAGTGAGAAGTGAGATCACTGCTGTACAAAAGGGCATTGCTTTCAACCTAATGTGGATGCATGTGCACACAAATGTACACATGGACACGGTGGGGGTGGAGAGTTGCTTCAAGAAAGACATTACTTTCTACCCATGTCACATAGGTATGCAGACCTAGAATGGACAGGGGTTGCTATTTTACAAAAGGGTATCAAAGCAGCTGGTCATCATGGTACACACCTGTACTATGGAGGCTAAGGTAGGAAGACAGCAAATTCAAACCTAGCCTGGGCAATTTAGTGACGCAGTGAGACCCTGTTTCAAAAAAAAATGAGGGGTGAGGGGCTGTGATAGCACAGTGTAAGGCACTGGGTTCAACCCTAGCACCACAAGGCAGGGGCATCACTTTCTACCCAGGGCACACACATATACACAGGCATGGGTTCAACCCTAGCACCACAAGGCGGGGGGGCATCACTTTCTACCCAGGGTACACACATATACACAGGCATGGGGAGCCCCACTTTACAGAAGGCATCGCTTTCACACCTTGTTCCTTTCATCCAACACCCTCATAAACCTTCAAGTACAAGTCGGGTGTGGTGGTGCACGCCTATAATCCCAGCACTCGGGAGGCTGAGGCAAGAGGATCGTTGCGCATTCAAGACCAGCCTGGGATACAAAGTGAGCTCAAGGCCAGTCTGAACTGCAGAGCGAGACCCCATCTCAAAAAGACCAAAATAAATAAATAAATAAATAAATAAAAATAAATAAACCTTCAAGTTCAACTGTCCATGTGCAAGTGTGATTTTTAATGGTGGTGTACACTCTCCAATAAGGCAACTTTGTCCTGTACTGAAGGGCACACTGCCAGTTTTGGTCTTGTGAACACTAACACATGCTTACAGCGGGACACTGGGTACTTCTCTTATGGGCAAATTCTCAGGAGCGGCCCTTTTCTGTTGTTTCCAAGGTTGCTTATGTACTATTTCCTGAAGACTCTGCCAACGGCAATATTTGGTGTGCTGCTACTTTCTGTGTGAAGGGTCATCAGCCCACACTGTGACTTGCAGGAGTGGACTGGCACGGCTAAGTAGCACTTCCATTCAGGAGCCATGCGCAGCACACTGAGAGCTACGTGTAGACAGAGGGCTCACAGCCTGGGGAAAAAGGCTGCAGTAGACCTTCTGACAAATATTTAAACACTGTCAGCAAGGTACACAGAAAAGAAGAATGAAGGGGCTGGGGATTTAGCTCAGCGGCAAAGCGCCTGCCTGGCAAGTGCAAGGTCGTGAGTTCGGTTCCCGGTACCGGAGAAAAACCAAA